AATTAAAATAGTAATATTTTTGATAGAGCTGTAACTGCTTAAAGGTTGGATAGTTTTACTAGTATTATGCAGTAAAAATGAGAATGAAAAAAAATYCTGGGGGGACTTTTTGGAAATTTGGACCACACGTGGAATATGAGTTTCGACGCGTTGCACACCCCTCTAAATTTATGACCCCTGCCGTACAACACATGTACTCTTACTTCGCATTTTGCATTTACGTGCGGCAACTGGATGATGATGACCACGTTCTTCCTATCCTGGTTCCCGCGTTTCGTTATTTTCGCAAGAGCACTTCATACGAAGAATGGACGTTCCTTGACATCTGACCCATCTGTCCAGACCGTGTTTGAAACTGCAAAAAATTGTCTTACATAAGAGAAATAAAACACTTTGCATCTGTCCTCGTACGTTAAAATAGTTGATTACAGTAATAAAGTGTTCGGCTTTGCTGTTACAAGCGTGCTTCATGGACTAAATGCCTTACGAAAGCAGACGAAGTAAAATCATATCTTTTTGATTTGCTATCGTTTCGGCGATGCGAGTGGCACACAGGTGCCACAGGTTCTGCCACTGCAGTGGCGGGAATAAATGAATCTTACCCCGTACTTCCCGTCGAAAAGAAAGCAAATGTGCTGATTCGTTGCCCACTCAATTTTACTCGTCTCATCTTCAGTGTCAGAGGAATCTGGCAAGGAACAGGTAGGACTGAACCGGCTACGAAATTCAAAGACAACAGACGACAGCACGGGGAAGACAATAAGCGAGTAATGAACCGCCGAATGCGAGGCATCAGTATCTTTTTATTGGGAATAAAAAATAGAATCACATGATAGACTAGAATAGAAAAGAATAGAGCGTTCGGAAGCAAAGAAAGAGGTGAGGTTTCTATTCGTTCCCGGTTGTCTTTTGGTTTGCGAGTAGGAGAATGGCACMGAGAGTATCTCCGATGCCTCGACAGCAGCTTGCGCGCCAGCAGGGCGCTGTCAAATCTGAACAGGGCGTCGGTCACTATGGCTCGGGCACCCAATCGTACGCTACAGACTCCATGGATGGTCTTTCAAAGAATTTCTCTGCCTCTGCTGCCATCGTCGGTGATCGAAAAAGCCCCGGCATTCAGGAAAATATTTCCAGGGACAACCGGATCGATTACACAGATTTCGTGAAAAGAAAATATTTCGAACAAGCTGGACACAGCGATAGACATTATCCCACCAACTTTGCTATATACAGAGAGGAAAATGGCCACGAGGCTGTCGACCAAATAATACTGCCAGCTGCATCGAGCTCCAGCGACAGAAATTCGCTGTCCTCGGTTGCGGAAGACGTTGGTACCATTCACACTCGACTATTGGATGCAAATAGAATTTCAAATTTAAGTGCAAATGCAAACAGCGGAAACAAACCAAAACTGCAGGTGAGCGAAGATCGAATGTCCAATCGAACGAAACCATATTGGAATCGACCGCATACACCGCCCCTGACTCTGTACGCAAATGAAGGCACTCCGGCGCTTTCGCATTCCTCGGTAGGGAGTCCAAAGGAACCAGGCAATATTGACAACGATAATCCAGCCATGGACGAGGTCGCTGGGTATCTGTCCCCCAGTCCGGACATGGAAGCGACGGGCTCGCTCTTGAAACATGCGATAACTGATTCGAGTGCGGTGTCTACGGCGCACCCCCTGCCTTCTTCGTGTTCGGAAGACATGACGGTAGATGGCTCGCATGCAAGTGTTGATAGCAGCAGGGGGTCGATGAGCACTGCAACGCTTTCACTGATAAAACAACCCGTTCTGTATAGTGCCATTGGATCGTTGGAACGCGCAAATTGCAACTCGTTGACCAATCTGAACAAACGATTTTTGACTCCCTCGAAAGAATTTTGCAAGCCTGGAGGCCCACCGGGGATGGTGCAGTCGATTCTGGTTCCACCGGCGCGTCCCTATCGAGTCGATCACAACAAGCAGCAGAAAACTAGAACGACAACATACTCTGGCCTGCAAGGTRTATTGCCAGGTGCTGTCGGAGGGACAGACCAAATGAAAGACCAACAGAGAAAAGAAGACATTGTCCAAGATGGAACTTCACAGGGTACAACACACCAAAAATCCAATAATACGAAGCACAATAGCGAGGAGGAGACGAATTTGTCGACATTATCCAGCTCACATGAGGAAAAATCAAACCCGAGGAAACGTTCCGATAATTTTTATTCAATCGATGGAAATCTTTCATCACAGGACAACACAAATGCGACAATCGATACAAAAGCTAGCAATCCAAAAAAAACTAGTGCTGACCTGAACAGCAATTCCAAAAAATCGAAAACGAATAGAAAGGTACGATTGTCCTATGATTCTAAAGGGAAGACGAGGAAGTCGAAATCCAAGACGATCGAAATGTTTCGTCCGTCGTCGGACGCCTACACTCCGCGCATCGAGCGAAAGAAGATCAAGTACAAGGCGGCGGAGGCGCGACCGTGTGTCCAGCAAATGTCGTCGCCCATGGGGACCCTACAGCGCCCCAATTTTCGGGACGCCCTGCGGCGGGTTGCAATGATCCTTCAGCGGCACATTGTGAAGATCGAGAGTCGTTTTGACGAGCACCAGAGGAGTGGATTTAGCAGTAGCCCGGCACGCAGGAAAGCAACCACAAGGGATGGTCTCTTTCATGCATCCATGCGAGAAGTTTTTAACGAGGATGCCTACCGGACACCGACGTTTAAGTGCAACATGGCGAGAATTCCGATGGCACGACCCGGGATGGTCTACGGGTTGCGAAAGATCAAGGTCCAGTACTCGATCCCGACCGAAACAGAAATCTACGAGTTTGGTCACCAGCTTTTCAAGTCGGTGCAACTTTCCTCGGAATGTTCGATTGTTTGCCTTATTTACGTTGAGCGCTTGATGGAAGTGGCGAAGGTTCCGCTGTTGGCTTGTACCTGGCGTCCCATTTTCATGTGCGGGCTTTTGCTTGCATCGAAGGTGTGGCAAGATCTTTCCTCTTGGAACATTGAGTTTTCGAGCGTGTATCCACAATTTTCACTGGAAGCAATCAACAAACTGGAACTGAATTTTCTTCGAAGTGTCAAGTGGGATCTTTACATATCGAGCAGGTGAGTTCTGGTCGGCTATTTTGCGCTTTTTTAGTTGTATTTTTACTCACCAACATACATGCTCATGTCGTTTCTGCATCTTAGTTCTTATGCCAAGTATTACTTTGCGCTCCGCTCGTTGGTTGAAAAACAAGATTTTCGGCAGAGATATAACCGCATGGTTGGTGGGGTAGGCAATGTTGCGCAAGACGAGGCCTTGAAGGTCCAGGAGAGGACCGAGCGCGTCAAGGAAGAAGCAATGATGCAGCTAAGTCGAAGCATGAATTGGTAGGGTATCCATGAAATCTTTGATATCAGTCTGACAGTGTTCAAAGTATTAAATTGAAGACGTGCAAACTGTAGCTTGCTATTTCATTGAAAAATTGATTTTATTTCAATTTTAGAGCCAAGCAACGAAAGATGTGTTTAATCTATTTGCGTTGTGTTGTGTAAATATTGTTTCATCTAAAAAATTGAATATTGATTATGAGTTAAAAATACGGTGTCGTTTTGACAGTATAGAATGTCTCGTCCGTACAGACGCTCGAATGGTCCGTTGCAAGGGCATCCAGTCGTTTTCGAAGCATTGCTATTCTCGCGGAGCTGCTGGATGCCCCATTCTTGTTGCGCATCCTCCTGTTACCCCCTATATTTGTGTTAATGTAAGTCGACACTACATCGATGTTCTCCCCAACTAACGACTTCGAAGCGTCGCTTGTCTTCGCTATATCGTTCTTGGCAGGCTCAATGGTTTGCGCCGATGTACAATCTGGATTGTACGATCGATCGCTAGAGGATCTCTTTCCCCTGCGCATAGAATGTGTGSACGCTATTTGCGTTTTCCCCCCCTTGTCAACCCTTTCGTACCATTTTTTAAGAGAAGTTCCCGACTCAGATTCAGCCTTCTGAGAAAGTTCCCTTTTCTTCAGTTTTGAAATTATCTTTTCTTTTGACCTCAACTTATCTTCCAACCCCATTATTTCAACTACGTATTCATTGAGATTTTTCTCTAGAGCTCGATATCTACTGGTCCTTGTTCTGTTGTCAATTTGGCCAGAGGTGAACCCGATCTCTGTTTCCAAAGCAGTGATCTTATTCTTCAACGTTTGTGTCTCAAGCCTATCAGTTTGAATAGTATTTTGTTTTTCTTTTCCTGAGGAAGGAATCGCATTGTCTTGATGCAACCGTACATCGTCAAGTTCTCGTTGTTTTCTTTTGATTTCGTTCAAATATTTTGCATTGTCTGATTCTAGAATCTTGATTCGTTTTTCAAGCAAAGACGACTTCTCCACGGACTCTGTGCGTGTAAATTCTGAGACGTCACTTGCTTTCTCTCTCGTTGCTTGAGAACTCTCTGATACTAATCTATTGTATTCTTCTTCTAGACTGGAATAGCGACTTGTAGCTTCGGCTTGTGACTTTTCGTAAAGGCGCTCAAGGCGGTCAAGCTTCGACATTGCAACACCATTTTTCGAGGAGTTGGAACTTGCTGAATCCCAATCAAGATCATCTCCTTCATCGTCATTTCTTCCGTCCAGTCTTCGTCTATCCATCATGCGTCTATAATCATCATACATACTATACCTTAGATCATGAAATTCTAGCTCCAGCTGAAGTTTCTTTTCATTTTGCTTGCTTTGTTGCAACTCAAATCTTATTTGTTCAATATGATTGGTTTGGTCCCTCAAACGAGATTCGTAAAAATGAAGCTGTTCGTCTTGGGCTTGAATGATCTTTTTCATTTGCGCACTATCATTTGATGAAAATGATACGGTTGTTTTTGTATCTTCTTCTTTTGTTACCACCAGCGGCTCCGTTGTCGAAGCCGACACGTTTTTCTTCTCTGTCTCATTTTCTTTGCTACTGATTTGGTCAGATTTTTGTTGTCTTGATTCGAAAAAAGAGTTTTCTATGTCTTCGGTTCCTTCCCTTGTCTCGTATGGATTGGTGACGTAGGAAATAGTTCCTATAGTATCGAGCTCCGAGACTCTTCTCCTTGACGGAGATTTGCTGAGTGCTCTTATCGATATGCCCTTCCCTTTGTTTTCAAAAGGATCCATCTGAGAAGATAATATTCCATTTTGAGCGTGAGACGGTGACTGGGATCTAGCATGTCGATAATCAGGAGTTCTAGATCGATTTCTATCAGGCGTAGGAGGTCTGCCGCTGGGTGGTCGGACCGGAGATGGATTTTGTCGTCGTTCGGGAGTAGAATTTCTGTTTAGACATGTCCCCGGAGAACTCTTGCGTCGGCGCTCACGAAACCTTCTTTTCGCTTCTGAGCCGCAAGAATCTTTCGTGTCGTCCTCGTCTCCAGAATTACTAAAAATACTTCCGATAATATCCCCGTAGCGGCGACCTGGAGTTGCACTCCTTCCTCGTGTAGCCATTGTATTCACCGACAATCTTGTTTGCTGTCGATGCACGAGGCGATGACCGAGTCGACCAGATATAAGATTGTCGCTCTCGGGTTGAATGGTATTTTCTGCTTTGCAACTTCAAAAGAGGTATGCGCACCTTCTCCCAATAGTGTAGAGTCTGCTCTGGACCTATCACTAAGAGGACTGTTAGGGTCGGTGTGGTGTCCGTTTTCAGTATCATCGGACTGTGGTCACCTGTAATACGATACGTGCGTACTGCTGCGTACTGCTGCGTACTTTACTGATAAGATCCTTGAAACGACGTTATTTCCACGCAAAAACTTGAAATGATCCAATTATTGACGAACGTTTCCCATGTGCCCAATCGCCAAATAATGAGTTGTGCCTGCGCTCTCGCCAAATATTCTAATTCTGATTCATACATACTATAACATGATATTGAACATACATTAGGATAAAAGAGAGCTTATTTTTTGGTGTCTTTTTTACTTTTTACCCTCTCCTGAAACAAAACCTCCGCCAACAAGAAAGTCATTTAGTGTATCCTACTCGTCATCAAACAATACTAGTTGTACCAGATAAGAGTTCCTACGAGTACGAGTACGAGTACGAGTATTGCACTCAGGCCCCCACTCCTCCTGGGCGCGAAGGTGTAAATCTAGTTCCGCTGACTTCATCGTTTCAATACATAGGTATCGAATAGACAATTGCTTCCCGAAAGCCGTCACAACAGCATGCCCCCTCTTTTGACGCAAGTGGCACGCTTATCCGATGGACTTCCATTGGTCGCCATTCAAACCCCAGCCCCGGGTATTCCCGTTACGAACAGTGATCAAAAGGAGGCAAAAGATCTCTTGCGAAAAATAACTGCAGGGTGCGTAGACCGATTTGGTTCAAAAAATTCAGATTGTTGMTGATKTTCTACTCTGCCTTATTATTTGGTGGGCATAGAAGGCATACCGCAGTCAAAGATATGATGCAGTGGGACAAAGTGTCTCTCTTGAATGGATCGCCTGTCTCTCACGGGGTTTCAACTTTCTCAATAATTTTACATAGGGCGAACAAAATGTCGATTGAGTCGGGCGATAAAACGTTTTATTATATGACTCGTGAAAGCTTGTGTTTTTTAGCCATGACAGAATCGAGATATCCGAAGAGAATGGCATTCTTATACCTAGATGAAGTATGCGATTTGATTCTGCAAGAGTTGGTCCGAGAGTTTGGAAATAATGTGAGTCTTAAGCGCTAATTTTTGGCACTGTATGATGCAAACTGGTTCACTATTTTCCATTTTCTACGCCTGTGAATTCGCTCACCATTTCAAAACTGAATGGCCATTTTTCTACCCAAAACAAAGTGGCGCATTGAAGTAGACCAAACCGATCGTCCCTACCGATTCATCAATTACGACCCAATCATCCAGCGTAAGCAAAAGGAATTCCAAGACGAACGTCAGCAACGATCTAAGCTAAATGACGATTTGAGTGAAATTCAATCCATAATGAAGAAAAACATCAATGATATTTTGGACAGGGGAGAAAAATTGGACAATGTGCAGAACATCAGTGCCGAGCTTATGAACAAATCGAATAACTTTAAATGGGGGACACGGAAACTTACACTCCAAGCCAGGATTCAACAATACCTGCCTATGATTGTCCTCGTTTTGATTGTTGTTTTTATCATTTATGTCAAATTTTTCTGGTAGAAAACACACACGAATTCTTAATCGCCAGTCGGATTGCCACCGAAAATGTCCTTGTTTTGTCCGATCATGCTGATAGAGTCCTTTCACTCTTCTAATTTTCCAACATCGACTGTTGGAAAGAATCAAAATAATGCCAACGGCAATCATGGATTCAAAGCAACTTGCGGTCGCACTCACGCCAGACACACGAAAAAACAACAAATGATCGCATGCTATACTACAATATTTACGAAACAAAACGAAGCAATGAAAGTACTGTTGCTGCAGTCTGGGAAACCATTTTAACACAATAACATAAGTGAGAGGGTCAGAACCTAAAAAATGTACTCAATGTTTTTTACCTTACTTGCATCCGTTCGCATTCGTAATAACCATGATTTCTACGTACATACCGTACTACTTCTTCTAGATAATAAAAGCTTTGAGCAGGGTCAGTTTCAGCATTGTGCTGCTCGCTCCTGATGAGATACTCCTTGCCTGCTAGCTTGAAAGCTGAATTGACAACAACCGTTGCTCCATACTGGAACACCATAATCGGACATGGTGCTATCATGCCAGCTTCCCATACAATTGTAGGTGCAGATCTGAGTCCTTCTAGTAGCAGGGGCAAAGACAAAGACACTGTTGATAAATGTGGCAGCTTTCCATCCATTATAATGCTGATTTTGGATGGTATAATTGCCAGATTGCTGCAAATCAACCTTGAGACCATTCACGGCAGCCCAAACATGTTGCTGTCCAAGCAAGGGGTATTTCTCCTTACAGCCTCAACATATGTATCCTCAATATCTTCTCTGGAAGACATCGACACCATTGCATGAAGATGCCTTTGCAACACAAAGAGGAGAACCTTCCTGGAGTATTTCAAACACTTGTACATCATGGTTGAGGTCAGTCCAAAGGGCAGTGTTGAGGATCTTGCTACAGATACTCTTGTTCTTTACCACCAAACAGTAACACTAATCCAAGACAGCAGGTTGCATTTGCCTAATGCTTCCTACTGATCAGTCTTCCATTCTTTGACAGAGTCCGTAATTGGATGGTGTTGTCCCTCATCAATCATGATATCTCTGTCCAATGCTGGTTCAAAGATGGCAAGGAGATCACTTAAGACAGCACTGTGATTGACACCACAGCAATTGAGAAGCCCCTGATCACTACCAGAATGGAGGACAACAAAAACAAAGGGAGATTCAGCAKATCTTCACAGTTCAATTCTTCTTGGTTCTCTCCTGTCCCTCCTTCTTTGAGCATCCTTTCTGACCTTCTTCCTCCTCATCCTCCAGAAGCAGGGCCCACCAGGAGAAAGTGATTGTCTCAACAAGGACCATTGACATATTGAAGGAGAACAGCAAGTGCTGTTCCTAGTACGACCTCTCAGGTGCCAGGGCCATCATACAATTAGCAAATACAGAACTTTTCAAGGGTTTCAGCAGGTGATTGTTTGAAAGATTTTTGCAACAAGGGGATGTGGAATTCTAAGTATGGTGCTGGTGGTATGGGAGGATTGTTCTTTTCAGCAGCAAAAGAATAATCATCCAGCAGCAGCAATAACAAGAAGTAAGAATGAGAAAAAGGAGATTCCACTGGCTGCCCACCATATTCTACTAGTACTAGTAGTAGTAGTACCGGTACTACTACTAGTACTACTAGTAGTACTACCAGTAGTATGACCTATGGCACTATGGTATAGGCCCCCTAAATTTGATTCCTGTAATCCCACCAGTAGCCCTGTATATCTGGGTCTAGGCGCCTGGTATTCTGGGAATGAAATGACTCACTATCGTACAACTTTTGATTGTACTTATGCTTTTGTACAAAAAATATAAGAAGTAAAAAGTAGTAGGAGTACTGTACTAACGKACATACAGTACATTTTTGAGTACTGGTACCGGTAGAAGGTAAAAGCACATTTTACATTAGCACTTTATTTAGGGGTCAGCAACGCAATGCTAATTGAGCATTGCAACGCTGCACTAGGGTTAAAAATTTTGCAACAGTGCAACGCTACACTCTACCAGTACACAACGGCGTTGCAAGACTGAATCATATGGGACTAAAAATTTGTTTTTTTTCATTCTCCCATCTCCATTTCCCCTCTCCCCCCCCCCTCCACACAAAAACCTTGTCCCAAAATATTTCTATTAGTGGTCCTTACTACTGAAGAGGTAAATTCATTGGTTACCACTTTTGAATGACTATTAGTGCTTACTACTGGAAAACTTCTATTACTACTTACTACTACTAGTGAGGATGTTATGGTAGTGAGCAATACGAACTGCTGTGTTAGGGGGTTTTGTTGGTGCTGCTCCTGCACCCTTCTTGCAAATTTTAATACTATGAATTGTTGTACATTCTAAGAGAGGTTTTATAGTAGTAAACTAGTAGTAATTACTGTACCAGCCATGTGGGACTAAATATTTAGTAGGCAATGCTCGTGTTGGACCATTGTATTTTGCAACAGGAGGAGGGTTACAAAAAGAACACCTTTTCCACCATATTCCAATCCCTCACAATTATCAAACAGCCACTTTACAAAAGCACCAACTAGTAGTACTGGAAGCAGTACCACAAGTATGAGTAAGAAGAATTCTACTGTAAAGAAAAGTCATCATGGGTGCCTTGATATTCTTCCTCCTGGTGTTGCAGATCATGCATACAATAAGCCTCCTCACCCTGATGTGATTGATAAGTATTATGACCTTGTTCAAGCACCAATAGGTAAAASCTYCAAGTAGTTATATTTTTAATACATTTTATTATGCAACGGCATTGTTGTGCAACGGTCAAGGATAGAAAAAATGCGTTGTGGACCATTGCATCGCAACGTTTTTCAAATTGTTTGGCTTGGAAGTTTATTGCTTCCAGACCGGCTTTGTGGAGTGTGGTCTGATGAGCATGTGAGGTGTGTTTGTTGTTGTTGCTCATAACCTGCAAAATGTATGTGTGCTCTTTAGTGCCGTATAACTACGTGTTTACAATAAAGAGTGAGCTTATTCACTATCTACTCGTGATTTAGGCTCACATTGCGTTGCTGACCCCTAACTTTATTCGTACGGTACCTACATATCGGTATGACATACGTACTTGGATAAACATCTTCCGAGAAACAATACTGGCATCCTACACGTTGCATCATCACCGATTTTTGATCATTGTCACCATCGTAGTAAATCGTAGTAAACATGCCGTTACTCGTGCCTGTAACGGTACGTACAGGTACATGGTACGATAGCTTGGAGATTCGAAATACAAAAATTTGGGACTGCTTCATCGTTCAAGATTGCACATACTATTTATATTTGAGAGTCTGCAGACTCGTACCATTGTCGACAAGCATCATTGTTGACCGCGATCAAAGTGATACTGCCTGGAAACGAAACTGTAACTCTAAGAAAATGAAAACATCATCATCAACGCTGCGATTGCTGCTATGCGTACTCGGCTCGGCGACAATACGTCGATGTTATGGAGGAAAAGGGACGCCTCGTTCGATAGGCCGGTTTTTGCAAATTCGAGGCGGGGAAGCATCGTATCCCGACTATAGAGGTGCAAACCTACCCCCAGATTTACCCGAATACGGAGACGGTGATGGGGTTCAAAATGGACGCAGTCCGCAGCAGCAAGGTGGGCATAATCGATACCACTACGATTCACAACAGCAGCAATATCCCGCTGGCGACCATGGGGGTGATCCGAGGTACAATTCCCAACAACCCCCATACTATCCACAGCAGAGCGATCCTTACTATCACCAACACCCACCAAGTCATCCATCCGGACCATACGGAGAAAATCCAAACCAGGGTCCACCGCCACTCCCATCGGGTCATGGCCAGGAACAGCAGTACCCTTCTTTGCCGGGTGATCCTTCACTATACCAAGAAGAGGAGGAACCCGAAATGGATATGAATTCCGCCTTTGGTGGTGGTATAGGTGACGAAAACTCTGGAGACGGATCGAGCGGCATGGATCTTTCTAGCTTTGATAAAGAATACATTCTCAAGGGGCTCGCAAAACTCTATAAGAAAAAGATCTTGCCGCTGGAAACTTCGTCCGGATACGGACACTTTCATTCTCCGCCTCTATCACCGGCAGATTTTGTGGCCCCTCCACAGGTATTATTGTTGGGTCAATATAGGTGAGTTCTTTTTCTCAATGATCGTCTCCTCGCAAACCTTGCATTTCGCGTAGAGACAGAAAACCCGGAGAACTCTCTATTTCTTCTTGGATTTTGAATCTTACACAGCTGTATTGATCATGAAATGCAGCGTTGGCAAAACATCCTTCATCAAATATCTCGTAGGACGTGACTTTCCTGGAATCCGCGTGGGGCCCGAGCCAACCACGGATCGCTTCACGGCCATTCTATGGGGTCCCAACGACAAAGTTGTACCGGGAGCAGCTCTTTGCTCCCAACAAAACCTCCCGTTCACCGGATTGAGTCCCTACGGGAACAATTTTTTGAGCAGACTGGAGGGCGTCGAGGCGGATTCGGCTATCTTGCGAAACGTTACCCTGATCGATACCCCGGGTATTTTATCCGGCCAGAAGCAAAGATCTCGGAACTACGACTATGAATCTGTCATGAAGTGGTTTGGAGAAAGAGCGGATGTAAGTTACATTCTCGTCTGATATCAGAATAACGCAATGTTTCTGTTTGTGGATTAGTTTTTCTTGTTACTTCTTTCCATCTCACGTCGTGCTACTATCGGTTGTAACTTCGTGCAGCTTGTCATCATCATGTTTGATGCACACAAATTAGATATTTCCGATGAGTTAAAGGGGGTCATGCAATTGTTCATTCCGCACTTAGATAAGATACGTGTTGTTCTGAACAAAGCTGATTCGATCTCTACACAACAACTGATGCGTGTCTATGGGGCCCTGATGTGGAGTTTGGGCAAGGTCATGAATACACCGGAAGTTTGTCGTGTGTTCATGGGGAGTTTCTGGGACGCTCCCCTTCAAAACACCGAGCAAGCGGAACTTCTGCAACGAGAAGAGACAGATCTTCTCAACGACATCATGAACCTACCGCAGCAGGCGGTCATGCGAAGAATCAACGAGTTGGTCAAGCGAGCACGAAGTGTCAAGGTTCACGCTTACATCATCCACTATCTTCGCAAACAACTTCCCTACACTTGGGGAAAGAAAGAAAAACAAAAACGACTAATTGCACGATTAGAGTCAGAATTTTCAGCGGCCGCTAGACGTTATGGTCTACCAAAGGGAGACTTTCCAGATCTCGAACCATTTCGTCGAAAGCTTCTCGAAATCAAGGACCTGAGTGAATTCCCAAAATTAGACAAGAAACTCGTTCGTGAAATGGACAAGGTTTTTTCTGTCGATATACCCCTTCTATTGGAAAAGGCAAGGGACCACAGATAGTTCAATCTTAAAAAATACTGATAATCTTCAACGTTTGRTTTCGATTCCCAAAATTAGATGTCTCACAAACAGAATGATTGTAGCAATTTTCTTCTACGAAGAGAAGTATCGAAAGTTTTGATGTCGAATAACCCCACACCAATCTACGAAACCCAGGTTTTTTGAATTGTGATTTGTATGGTGTGTTCAGATTTACAAATACTAACGTACGGTAATGAACATCAATGATTGGAGTAGTTCGATTACAACAATCGTTTGTAACCCAATCACGAATTTTTTTGACATCGATTCCCACCGCGAAATTCATCATCGAGCACCAATTCTGTGGTAACGTAATGAACTTCATCTCCATTCTTGCTCGCGAAAATAACATARATGGGTTAAATCATTCTATAAATCCAATTACAAAATTCTAGTTTTCGGTGGCAGCGGGCTTGGCCATTGGGGCAGCGGGTTCTGATGAGATATCGTATTCGGCAGGCTTTTGGTAAGAGTGAATAGCGTAATCGATAGGAGCACGGTTGATATCCGATGGTCGTGACTTTCTAGGGCGCTTAGATTTGGCCCATTTGGCGGCCTTGTCATTCACGTGTTTGGCGGAAAGGCATCTGTTGGTGCAGCGCAAGAAAAATGCAAACGGTGAGAAATGGCAGGAAAACGATAATRAAATGCTGAAGCACAATCGATACAACTTTGAATTTGGCACAACTCTGTAATGTCTACTCCATCACTAAAGGCCACCACCATWAATTTGRCATAATCTTGTCCTCCYACACCGGCAAACTCGAGCAGCGAAAAGGAAACTCACGTGTCAGCAACACGAACAGTGTTGTAGACAGGGGCAAAGGCCGAAGCACAAGCGATGATAGCAAGGAGGAAGAAAACGGATCTCATCATTGTCTCTTGGTAATTTCTCAAGCTAATTATAATCGTTGAATGCGAAGGGKCGAGTTCGTTGAGGAGCTCCAATCGATTGATGTGGTCTTYTCAGATTGCGCCGTAAAGAAATCGAGACGAAGATGAGCGATGACGATGATGTGTTTGTACTGCTTATTTTTAAGACGAACCGTGTGTTCTCATTTACAAATACTGTGATGGGTAAGTCAAAAATGGAACGCATGACAGACGTTTCCGTTCTTTTTACGTGAATTAAACCAGGTACACCGTGCATGACGTACGTGGGTCAACAATTATTACCGGGCATCCGTGTGGAATAGAATGAATGGGTGAGCTGAGCCGCACATCAATCGCCTATCACGGATGCCGGGCTTTCAACGAGAACAACCCGTGCATGATGTGAAACGACCGTAATAACAACACATCGTCAGCTTCTATCGAATCAATCGAAAATTTGTTAAGAACCCTTGTTTCTTGAATCCGGTTCCTCCACAACAATCTCTTCCACTACCTACTTCGCCCATCATACTTTACATTATTATCGACCGCTCCATTATATATATTTAGCCATGTATTTCAATAAAAGAACTCTTGCATTGTTCGTGGCTGCTAGCAGCAGTGTCACTGCCTTCTCGCCAGGTAAGATTGGGGTTCGGTGTCYCTTCGTAATCGTTCCCATCGGGTCCTAACGGCAGAAATATTTTCTTTGGAAATAATACTCTGGGAGTTCCTGAATGCTGTTATCTCGCCATCTACTTTTCTCTCATTTGCTCTAATATATAATGCATTTTTGTCTTGGAAACTGGGCGGATAACCGTAAACTAAAAAAATAGCTGCCACTGGTAACAGACTCGCCCTTCAATCGTCGGGAGCTGTTGTCCAGCAATCAGTTTCGTGCCCTGCACGATGCAATTGCCCTTCGTGCGCTGGACGCCTTACAAAGCTCTTCGCTGATGTAGCTGAAGAGACCGAGGTTCCCGCTGAAGTCGAAGCCATGGAAGGTGTCGAAAGCGCTGATGAGGCCCACAACCTCGAGCGCCCTGCCCGAGCCGCCCTCAAAAAGAAAAAGCCTTCTGGTAAGGACCTCAGCGAATTCACCGAGGGAACTACAGTCAAGGGAACCATTAAGTCTATTGCCAGTTACGGTGCTTTCGTCGATATTGGTGCGTCTACCGATGGTTTGTTGCACGTTTCCCAGCTTTCTGCTGGATTCGTCAGTGATGTTAGCGAGGTCGTCTCCGAGGGACAGGAGGTCGATGTCCGCATCGTCAACATTGATTCCGCTAAGGGACAAATCGGTCTTAGTATGATGACCGAGGAAGAAGCCGCCGCCGCCAAGCCCGCGCGTCGCAGCGGAGGTAACAAGAGACAAGGAGGTCGTCGGGACGACAGCGCTGTCTTRGGTGCCTTGAGAGAAAAGGGATGGGACGAAGCTACCATGGTTGAGGGAACTGTTGTCAGTACCGTTGACTTCGGTGCTTTCGTCAAGGTTGATGCCAGCACATTGAACAGCGAGTGCGAAGGAAGCTTTGATGGACTTGTCCACATTTCCGCCCTTAAGGTCGGACGAGTGGGATCTGTCACCGATGTTGTCAATGCGAACGACACAGTTAAGGTTCGTTGCAAGAGCATCGACGGAAACAAGGTTTCTCTTACAATGCTCTCCGTAGAAGAAGAAGAAGCCGAGCGCGCCAGTGGAGCCCGAAGCAGCGGCCCAACATTCAATGATCCATTCGATGAGGGTGAGGGTGCCAAGGACTGGAAGGAGAGTGTTGCTGCTATTGATGAAGAACAACCTGTTTACAAGAACACTCCTCTTATCATCCGAAAATAAAAACCTTACGAAGTCAGCGTTCCGCGTAGGCGTTACTTTMACCACTCAAACCAAGTAAACAAAAAATCCAATTTTTAAAGTAATAGAAGAACTCCGTCTGTTGATCACTAATTAAATTCTACAGTTGTAGTAAACCAGCAGGAAATACAACGAAAATTGACCCACACTTCATTCCATAGTTTCACACAGGTGTATATCAGCATCAAGACGAAGTGTGCACCAGTAGTTTGATTCTTTCACTACCAGAGCCCAACCAGAACCATGGTGTTCTTTTTGCACGACAAGTCATTCAAAAGTCTAGCCACGCGAACTCCTTTGGCAAAAACGACAATGGTTTAAGTCCTGCCTTTTATGGGGCATCGGTGCACCGCACTTGGTTTTAGGTTTTCTAGAAACCTTGAACACGATCGAAGAGTTGCAACGTAACGCGGGGCAGACTGCTTGGCTAACGGATTCGATGCTGCTACGAATCTATTCATTATTCATCATAGCGTTCCATTGTTCAAAATGCAATGTCGTCCACTAAGATAGGGAACGGAGGGATTGCGTTTGAAAAAGCTCTAGAATCGCGCTGATGTTGCTTTGAAGCATGGATTGGTGGTTGCGACAATAATTGTAACCGTGTCTCGTGGCATCAAGCGTTTATCGCTATTCGTGTTCACAATTCCACCATATCTGTAGCTCCGTGCGGAATCCGGATCGGACGGGGAACCGGCACCTGAGGTTTTCGTTGCCACCGGTTGAAACCACCAGTCGACCCCTCGAACYATCGACGGAGACACCCCTCGCGATACGGCGTTTCGAATCCCGAGCATTCGAGGGATGATCGTCGACGAACAGGCTGGTGCCTCCCTGGAAATTCTCGCCGGCCCCGGTTGTCAGGTGGATCGTGGTCAGAATACAAAACCTGGAATCTGCGCCGAGATCGAATTTCAGGTCGCACGTGTCTCGCTTGGGTTCCAAGCGGAAGGGCCACGGACGGTACTTWGATTGAAACCGAGCCTGATCGTTGTGCTGGCGGCTTCGCAGCACCCAATTCAGATAGTTCTCTTCGTTGAGAGCGGAGGAATGGGTAAGATACATCGACATTCCATTCCCGGTCTGTTTCAGCTGGACATCGTGGCCGTCCATGGGGCCCGTGGTCAACACACGGAAGGCAACAGGTTCAATGGTTTGGGCGTCTTTTGTTCGCCGTTGCCCGTTGAAATAGCTTGTCTCCAGTAGGTTTCTGACTTTGTCTACGACAGACGGCACGGCCATCGTTAGAAGAGAAACGTCGTAATGGACGTCGAAATGATCTCCGCCCTTATCAACCAATTCATTTGCCAAGGAAAACGCTGCTCTGACCTCGCCGGTTGTGGCGAAATGGTCGTGTATGCCTCGAAAACACTTGTCGAAGATTCTTCGTCTGCCATTACATATCGAATGAGCGGAATGAGAATGGTCGTTGGTCCCTAATGTATCCGTGCATTGGTTCTCCCTATTTTTYGCTTCATCTCGATTGTATTGCTGTCCCTCGGAATATATCGTTGGGTGCCCCGAGCACGACATAAACCAAGAAGCGTTTACACCATATGCATAGTCTCTTAATTCGCTTTGCAGTGTTGGCCGCCTCCTTCCTGCCGTTGGAGTTGCCGTCAGGGACTGGAGCGAATCGGAGATGAGGACTCGTTCCGAGGGTATGTGCAAAACTCCCTTCGAGCAATCCACAATCCCGGTTCTACCGATGACGGCGTCCCGTAYCCCATTCAGACCCCACTTATGGTGGAGATGGTGGTGGTAGTCGCTGCGATTCGCCAGCCCACCGGTACATTCGAGAACGTGGTCCCTCCAGTCCCGCACCTCCAACACCTCGTACAAAAGAGCATCGAAAGTCGAGTCAAAGAAGTCTTCTACTGTGACCGAATACAAGGGAAGAATCTGCAACATGGCACACCCGACAGCAGCTGCAGCTATCATCAAAACGATCACAATCCGCCGGAAGAGCCGAGCCACCAGAAAGCCAATGTTGTTCGCGGCATTGTTGTTGTTGTTGTTGTTGTTGTTGTTGTTGTTGGTTTGAGCGAAAGAAAATCCTCCACTAGAGATCGGAGGCTGAACCGGCTGGCCCTTTGGATCCAGCAAGATCACTTCAAAGTCTTCGTCTTCGTCTTYGCCTTCGCCACCGGTATCTCGATTCTGTTGTCGTCTGTCGTGTCGAAGCTCTGTTACGGCAATAGATATGGTATTTTCCGCTTGGCGTCTCAGCTGGTCTAAAAACCGCGTTTCTGGATTTTCCTGTTGGGGATCGAGTGGATTGTTGTTGTTGTTGTTGTTGAGGTTCTGGTTCCCAGGTAACAAGTTGTTGTTGTTGTTGTTGTTTCCAGCGTTGGTCTCCGCCGCTCGCCCCGGTGGTGGCAGATCTGCCCGTGGTGGTTGTGGGGGCTCGAACACGGGGACCAATCGGCCGTCTTCGTCGATGCGGGCACGGCCCGATCCATCTCGCAACTCCGATGCCAGTGCACGGATTTCTGCTGTGCGCCGACGAAACCTTCGCGACGCGTTTGCAAGCATTGGGAAGAAACGGTGCAATGAACGGGAACGAAAATCGGTCAGGTTTTGTTGGACAAAATATTGCGTCGAAAATTTTTAAGCAACAGTCAACTACTTTGAAGAATAGGATGCACTCATTCATCGGTTCAATTGAGTCGAGTTCAGTCCAGTTCGGTTCGGTTCGGTTCGGTTCGGACTATATTCTATTCTTTCAATAGACAGCCATTACACAAAGCCGCTGTATCCTACCGGATACAATGCAATCGAACAACTTACGCACGGCGCCACAGCGTACGCTCGCAACAATATTCTTTGCGACTTTTCCACGAGGGCATTTTTTTCTTGGCAATGCCCCTTCCTGTTCCGTCGGTGTTCACTTTCTCATCGCCCCGCGATTCGTCTCCCCCGTCCAGCGACAGAAATTCCAGGATTTCCTCGTCGCTCAGCAAGTGTGCGCAAGAAAGGAATTCGTTTGCCTCCTTTCGACTTTTTATCGGGTAGCCATGGTCTTTTGTGCGTCTACCGTTGTTCGTTCGCGGGTCCATCTTCGATTTGTCGATTGCTCATGGCACACGAGGCGACGGCCCTGCTAGAGATGTCGTGAACAGTGATACTGTAATACTGTAATGGCGTGGATTCTCGTTGAGCGACGCTTTCGATTTCGAAAGTTTCGACCGATCCAAGAGGGCTGCGGGAAATTGTTTCGTTATGCGCTTTTTGAATCGGCGCGCGTTGAATTCGGACCAAGTCCCTTCCAGTTCTCTACCCTACGGTGCGTATCCCCTACCCTCTACGCACAGACGATACTTCTGATACTACAGTACTGACACACCCAAGTCGTGTTTTCGATGCTAATGTATCTGTTTCGGTCGGAACGTACGGTACCTTTCTCCTTTCATTCCCATTGAGAAGATTGACGATGAGCTGATTTTGAAGTGGTAATCAAGCACAAACCACTCTTGCAATTGGCAAAAGCTCTACCACCAGAGACGGTCTAGTGATCAGGAGACTAAAATGTCCAGCGAGCATCAGCATCAGCATCAGMAKCAGRAGCAGACGCAGAAGAAGGAAGCACACACCAACGATGCCGAAACCGAAGCCGAAACCACGTCGCACTACGACAGAGACGAAGAATACCGCCTCGCGCAACAAGCCGCATCGGAAGCAGTAATGATCGGCCGAGAAACGCTTGCGATGGCCGTGCGTCAGGGTGAACAACTAGAGAACGCAGAAACTATGGCGGACGACACGGATTACACGCTGGACAAGGCCAATCGCTTGCTGCGCGGGATGACCTGGTCGGGATGGCTGGCAAACAAGTTCAGCAAGGAGGTGGATTCGCCCGGGTACAAAACCAGAAATGGCAACGGCAACGGAGACAGCGCCGGAGAAAGCATACTGGGGCCACCCAGGGTGTACGAAAGGATACCGGAGCCGTGCCGGGACGCGGCACAGGCCGTGCAAAACTACCACCTCAACCTGCAGGTCCTGGAACACTGCGAGACGGAGGAACAAAGGGGAACCTGTCGGTTGATCTGCGACAACATGCACAAGCAGGCGCGCCTCCACATCACAGAGGTTCTGACCGGTGCCGCAGCCGGGAGCAGCGACGCCGCGTTCGGCGGAGGAACCAGCGGGGACACGGGCGTCCTCGCGGACGACGACCAAACCGAATCCTTTGCCCTCCGGCTACAGGAGGAGGCGCAGAAGCTCCGGGAGCGGCAATTGGTGCTACAGCATAGGCCGCAGGAACAAGAGGGGGCGACCGGGACTACGGGCGACGACAGGACCGAACTCTTTCGCGGCTCTGCTGGGGGGAGCAGCACTGCCAAGCTGTTGTCGTTCACCGACAAGATCTCGGTACAGCAAGACAACCACCTGAACACAATGGCCCAGCGCCTACAGGAGCTCGGGTCTCTGGCGGGAAACCTAAACATTTCTCTTCAGCAGCAATCCGAGGTTCTCGATTCCCTCGACAGCAAGAACGACACGCTGCAGTTCAAGGCAAACGCAATGAACCGGAGAACGGAGCGGTTCCTCAAGGACAAGTCCTGGGGGCAGCAAAAGCCCGACTTTCTACACTATGCCACGATCCAGCACAAGGCCTCCGGTCGCTACCTTTCCGTGGCCCCGAACAACAACTCGACGGTGGTGCTGTCGGGCGTCCTCAACGAGCGATGCGTCTTTGGGATCTACCAGAAGAAACGGGTCCTCGGGCTGCAAAACAAGTTCAGCAGGCGGTGGGTGGGACAAAACCTGCTGGGCCAGCTGGCTTGTTCCGCTTCTGCTTTCCAGCGCCGCGAGGAATGGGAGGCCGAGGGCGGCGATTGGTCCGACACGACCCTCCTGGTCGTTTCGGCGGGCTGGGGCACCGGCGGCTATCTGTTGCTGGACGGCGAGGGCGGGGGCACGCTCCCCATCATCGGCGGGGGCGACATGCCCACCAAAAACAGGGCTCCGAAGTGGTGCATCCGCGAGTTTGATCGCACGCGCAACGCCTAACCAATCCAGCGCCGTCCTACGGCCGACCCGCCCCRCCGGATTGGATCGTGAAACATGGAGCCCGAAGCTGGCACGAGACACAAAAGTTGTGCTAGATTGCCAATCGGAGCAGCACCGCAAGGAAACAMAATTCGATGTGACTGCTTCGTGATTGTTTGCTTTGTCGGCTTGCCGGAAATATCTTCGGTGAAATATTGCACGGCTGTTCAAGCATTCGATAGTAAAAAATGCGTCTTACTCCATTAGCTACTGTTARAGTTAACTCGATTCTAGAAACGTTTGCTCTATTTAAAGTGCGATCTTGGAGACCTAGCCATTATTTTAGTATACAGAGGTAAGGTAGGGCACCATTCCTTCAGGAGAATATTCGTTGACATCATCCAARATGGAGCAAAGCACTCCACTCGGGTAACTGGTAGGAACCGCTTTCTCTGAGAACAACGCGTCGTAGCAAGCGGCAGGGCATTGAGAGCGTTCCAACCATACTATTCGTGTCTGCAGCAAGAAGTCCCTACTTCAAAAATCTATAGAACTTCCTGGTGATCTCTGAGGAATGAAGATTTCCGTTCGACCTGTCCCTGGTCACAGTACAAGCCCAAGTAGCTTTGTTCACCGGATGGCAACGAGCCCAAAGACTCAACTGGCACTGACCCCGTTGTTTTTTAAATAACTAACGCTTTAGCTCGTCAGTTGTTGGCACTCGTGCTTTCCGATGGGGACGAGGAATCCGACCCCTCGGCCTCTGCGGTGTTACCGATGGCAGCAGCGCTCGCTGTTGGCGCTTCCGAGCCCGGAATGGATGACGAAATTTCGTTCAGGCTTTCGCCCACTAGCATGGAGGCCTGGCCAACGTTATAGCAGCTCATTATGGCATAGTGGCGTTGTTCCAGTTCCTCCAGGACCCCGACGGCTCTCTCTACCCTTGCCCGGCACCGGCGCAGCTCCCGCGAGGCATCGTCGATGTCCATTTCGGTCTGCCGCAGCTCCTCGAGGTCCCGACGGGATCGTCGGTCCATCGGGGCATCCTCCAGCTTGAGCCGCTGCCGCTCGGCGTCCACCTTGAGCACCGAGATCTCGTCCTTGGCCTCGGATTCTTTCTGTTTCATGGCGTTCAGCTTCCGCCGTGCCGTCTCGATGTCCTCCTGGGCGTCTAGAAAGGCCTTTTCGCGCGCGCTCATGGCGAGCTCCCCCGCGGGACCCCAGGCCACGACGTTCGCCGGTGGCACGCGTTCCATGGCGATTTGTCGTTCTTCCCAGGTTTGTTCTTTTGTTTTGCGTTTAGGTTTTGCCTTGGCATCGCTCAGCTCCTGTAGCTGGCGGCGCCTGGCAGCGGAACGAGACGGTGCCTCGGCGCCCGAGCCGACGTCATCGACATCGTCGTAGGCCAGATCAACATCGAGAACCTCGTCGTCGTCATCTTCGGCTTCGTATCGGTAGGCATAGCCCGGTCTTCCCGGATCGTCTCTCGGAGAACGTCGTTGCTGCTGGGGCAGTGATCGCCTCCTTCCATCCCGTCGCCGGCGCTTTCCRAGTCCCATTTTGGCGTCGTACATGTCCGCTTTGTAGTTCATCTCGTCTCGGTCCAGTCCGAGAAAGGACTCGATCATATTGAGCGGGGACCACTCATTGTTCGAACTCCTGTATTGCTGCCTTCGTCGGCGACGCCCTCCGGAACGACGATCCATGTATTCGTCGTCCTCGCCATCGAATCGTGCCGAATTTCTGCGCCGACTCGTTCTCCTGGTGTTCCGGTAGTCACCGTTGTACCTCTCGTAGTCCTCATCGCCATCGTCGTAATCGTCGTCATAGTCATCCTCGTAGTAATTGTCATCCATTCGATTTTTTCGAACCGAGGTTTCGTCTGTAGGAGGCTTGTACAGCGACGGTGACAAAGGCCTGCGTTTCCTACTGGAACTGTCGTCGCTGTAGTAATCGGATTCGTAGTCCTCCTCCTCGTCATCGTCGTAGTAATCCATATCGGCGGCGCGTCGCCGCCTCGCATCGTAGTCCCTCGTTATCGCTCCCCGGTTCCCCGTCTCGGACGGCGGCAAGCGCCTGGCAGAATCCATTGGCGGCCGGCGGGACGCACCGCTGCGGCTGCTGCTTTCCTGGCTCTGTTCGGGAAGTATATAGTTGAACCCGTTGAATTTTCCTTTCGTCCCGCCAAAGGCAGTTTTGTCCCCGACGTCGGCGGTATCGTCCGCGTCGAATCCATACCAGAAGAGTTGGTCGTACAGGTCTTTCAGCACCCGGGGGGGCTCCCCGAGACCCGAGGACACCGGGGCCGATGGTTTTCGCCGTCTTGGCTCTTCCCGCGGTCGCCTCCGGGGTCGCCTGCTCCGGCTGTTGTCGTCGTCGTCGTAATCGTCGTCCGCGTATTCATCGTCCTCGTAAAATCTTCGTTCGCGTTGGTCCCGCCGCCCACGGCGGTTTATGCCGGATGGCGGACGGTCCATGCGGTTGATGGGATTCGACCAATAGTTTCCCGCCACTTGATCGGATCCGCCCTCTTCTTCGTCGTCGCCATAAAAGTCGTCTTCGTCTTCGTCTTCTTCTTCGTAGTCGTACCGTGCGAGTCTTCCCGTTCGCTGGGAGCTGCGATCGCTATTCTCTCGCCGCCGGCCATTGCTGGGACGTCGGCGGCGATCGTCCTCAAAATAGTAATCGTCCTCCTCGTCCTCGTCCTCGTCCTCGTACTCGCTGCGGCGTTCGTTTGAGATCTGAGGGAAATCACTGCCTCCTTTGTTCTTGCTGCTTTTGGGCATTCGACGCAACCCAATTTCTTCCTCGCTCACTTCACGGAACTTGGTGTTTGGAAATCCATCGTCGTAGTCGTCGGAGTCGTCCTCGCTTCCGTCCCTGTATTTTTGTCTAGAAGAAGAGAGAAACGATGTCCGTTGCCTTTGGGAGGAGCGATGGGAATTTGTTCTTGAGGGCTGCCGTAACTCGATCGGAGGCAGCGACGACCACACAGGAGGATGCCACCCGCATCCGACGGAATGCGAAGAAAGCGACTCTACGAGGGGAATCCCTAGTAGAAGCTGAAGTGTATGCACCAATAATCTTCCCAACATTGTTATATCCATCTCGAGATGAAATACGAACTATATGGGGTGGCGTTCGTGTCTCCAAAGACAGGATACCGAATCAGTGTTGTTTCTTCGAAAAACAGAGGGAGTTTTGTTTGACAGTCGATACCCACGTGTACCTACTCTAGTTGCGCTGTACGGTACTCGTGTACCTCGTCCCATGTGGGAATTCTTGAAGCCTGGTCGGAATCCCCTTTCGAAATTTTCGGAAGAGATGTTTTTGATTTTGATGATGGTTTCTCAGACAGAAATTTTCGTGTATGGTTCGTACTCGTTCTCGTACAAGTTCGTACATGCAGTGCGTAGTAAGTGAAAGTACAGCTTAATTTTTCGGGGCTCGGGCGTAGCTGGCTGTGCAAATGTGAGGCCTCAGTCGTACGGCGTTGGGCTTCCACGCGGAAGACACGACCACGGAATAGACCGCAGACCGCAGGCTGTGAGAGCAATATTATGCTTAGTATATATTAATCATATGCATGAAAAAAATATAGGAAACAAACTGGTACGAAGCTCTTATGGTACGGTACAGTACCGTACTACTCGTACTGTAGTTCTTCTTTTGGTCTTGAACCGAACCACGCGCTCTTTGCTTTCAGACAGTCGTAATACGTACCGTACTCATCGTATTGTAGCTTAGGACGTGCATCACGTACCGCACAGTAGTACCGTACGGTACATGSGTAACATACTCCAATTTTCGAGTTTCGTCGAAAATCAAAGATGGTGAAGAGGATCCACGTGACAAATCTGTAAAGATCTCTCGTGACTGATTCACTCACTTGTGATGATTTTCACTGAATTCTCGGTTTTTCCAACCAACACGACACGACATCCCACGACACAAACAAAACAAACGACAAGGTTTCTATCATCCAAAACAAAAAACAACACGCTGGCCAGAACACAACAACAGTGGAGATTGGGATGCTCAACATGAGGAAATTTCTCTGGGCTTTTGCCGTTGCGGAATGGTCCTTTTTGGCGAGGGATACCACCGCCTTCTCCGTCGACCACCGAGCGGCCTCTCCGAGCCTAGGACACCGAACGGCTTCAACCTCGGAGGCATCGCCGGCACCGCTTCAGTTTCCGGCGTCGCCTCATCGGCAACTACGCCGGCCTTCGACCCAGTTGTTCTCGTTGCAACCTCTGATCGAGGATATCACGCAATCGGCCATGTCGCCGGCATCGGGCAAGAAGACGATTTTTGTTGGCGGAAAGGGAGGGTACGTTGGCGGGCGAAAACGACGCGAACACCATTCGCGAACCCTCAACACAATCCGATCTAACCATGYTTTTACATCTGTATAAGTCGAGCAATTTTCGCCAGCAATCTAACTTTCTTGCATTTGATTTTTTTGCTTTACTCGCTTGATGGTATCTGTCCAGAGTTGGAAAGACTACCGTGAGCTCATCACTGGCGGTGGAACTGGCAACCAAACACGATTTGAAGGTCTTGGTAGTTTCTACTGACCCTGCACATTCCTTGGGCGACGCATTGGATGCCGATTTGAGAAGGGGGCGAGGAAAACCTGTAGTCATGGACGATCCCTTGACGCGTGGGAATTTGTATGCCGGTGAAGTCGACGCCGAGGAAGCCCTCGGTGATTTTCGAGAAAGCCTCGCCAGCTTTGACGTCGACCGGTTGGCTGCAAGCATGGGCGTACCGATGGACTTGTTAGAAGGACTTGGGTTGCGGGAGTTCAGTGGTCTGTTGAATAACCCTCCACCGGGACTCGACGAATTGGTAGCACTGGGAAATGTGATGGACGAGAACAAGGTAGACGACTACGACGTAGTGATTGTGGACACGGCCCCGACCGGTCACACTCTAAGACTTCTTGCCCTTCCTCAATTCCTGGATGGTCTGCTAGGGAAACTCATCAAACTACGAATGAAACTATCCGGGGTTACCAGCACTCTCCAAGCCTTCTTCGGAGACAGCGGTGCCCAAGAACGGGCTCAAACCATCGACAATGCCCTGGATCGATTGGACCAGTTTCGAATCAAAATTAAAAACATGGAAACCGCCTTGCGTGATCCAGAACGAACCAGCTTTCTGGTTGTGACCATACCGACCAAGCTGGCAGTAGATGAGTCGAAACGGTTGGTTTCCGATCTCACCTCTCAGGGAATTGCCGTCAGCGATATCGTCATGAACCAGTGCGTAGGAGATTTAACCGAAACCACCGAAAGCAATGGCCTTCTGAACTACTATCAACGCCGACAAGAGGGCCAGTCCCAATGGGTCGATAAGCTCAAGAGAGCAGCATCCGAAGTCAGCGCAACGGAGGAGTATCAATCGAACGGATCTCCTTCTCCAATTGCCGTCTCAGAATTTCCTTTTTTCGATGTCGAGTTAGTTGGGGTTCCAGCCCTTGGATACGTCGGATCTCAGCACATAATGACCAATCCTAGTTTTGAGTATTTGATGAACGACGGGAATGAACCGGATGGCGAACCAAGGGTTGTCATCTGTGGTGGAAAAGGAGGTGTGGGTAAGACGACAACCAGTTCTTCTCTGGCGGTGAGCATGGCAGCCCAGGGTCACAGGGTGGCACTTATCAGCACCGATCCCGCACACAGCCTTGGCGATGCAATCGATATGGACCTTAGCGGCGGCGACTTGGTCAGCGTTCCGTTGATCGGAGTGCCGGGTTCGACCGGGGAAGGATCGCTCTCCGCTATGGAAATCGACCCTTCTTCTGCCCTGAGCCAGTTCAAGGGAATCGTCGACAAGCTCATTGGCACCTCCGCCGACACGTCAACAGGGGGAGGCTCCGATTTAAGTGCTACCCTCAGGGATCTCGAGAGCATCTTCGATACACTGCCGGCTGGTACAGACGAGGTTGTAGCACTGGCCAAGGTCATCAACCTTGTCAAGAAGGGAGACTTTGACCGCATCGTTCTCGACACCGCCCCCACCGGTCACACCCTTCGGATGCTTGGGACACCGGGATTCTTGGCCGAATTGATCGATCGCATTCTGGACATCTCCAGCAAGATCAACTCGAACGCTGCCGTCAAAATGTTCATCACGAACGCCGCAAGCCAGCAAGGGGCGACGGGTGAACAACTGGATTCTGCTGCCACCGCTGCCAAGTCTCAATTGATCGGGTTCCAGCTCCAGATGTACGATCTAGAGGACTTGTTTGCGAATCCCGACCAGACCGAGTTTTTGATCGTGACAGTGCCCACGGAACTCGCGGTCCGCGAAAGCGTCCGCCTGCTCAACGATCTGACCTTTGAGGATCCCGACATGCCGATCAAGGTTCGAAACATCGTTGCGAATCAGGTGCTCAAGAACGACGGGAGCGACGTGTATACGTTCCTGTCCCACCTGGGCAAAACCCAAGCCAGTTCGATTGCGAGTCTAGAACAAAGTATGCAAGGAATGCCGCATGCGCCCAAAATAACAAAGGTCCAGTATCTGGACACGGAACCCCGCGGTGTCTTTGGTTTGAAAGTACTCGGAGATGCGCTCGTGCAAGACGAATAGACAATAATAGTRGCATGATATTTATATTGTTACATAACAAAAGGTATTTTGTAATTTTTGAGATATACTACCCGCTTCCTTTTCAAAGAGAAAGCGCCGCTTCTTCTTTTCGACAACTTCCATGACTCTATATGATGACAGGCTAGAATCACTTTGACGAAGCACATTTTTGTGCATTTCTTTTTGCGTCTTGGTCGGAACATGATTGTGGAATGATTTTTACACCAATGTCTTGTCATAGTTCTTTTGCATTTTGATAAAGTAGAGGGTACCCGTACTGGTACGTACGAAGTGCCACTTTTCGATGGCTTTCGGGTTTTACGTGATGCAATTGTGATTGGTGATTCATAACGATGATATCATTACAGCCAGTCGCGGTGCGTCGATCATTTTTTCTAAGCTGTAGTTGTTGAGCGTCTCATTTTTTCAATCAACTTCCTAAATAACAGTACCGTGTACTTTTCCGTAATAAAAACGAAGTGGGACGGTCTTTTGATACTCTCAAGAAAAAGCTATGAATGCATCGTGCCGTACCTGCCGTTGCTTGCAACAATTACAAAATGCAGTACTGAACGTGAGCGATAGGGGTTAAAAAGCGTCTATGCATCCATTCCCCCTATCGAAACAATCAACGGTCATCGGGACCAAGACCGATGGTACCCAGTGCTCCGAATGCAGTCCAACACAGTCCAGTAAAGAGCAGCGTAGTGCAGAGCAACGCAAAGCAAAGCAACGAAGAGCAAAACAAAACCCAATTTGCTACATTTGCAATAAGTATTACACAGCACGAACGAATGATCATAAAACCTAAAGAAGGACTTCACTTTCCCTTTGTTTACTTATTGCGTTTGTAGGACTATAATTTTATCAAAGGTACGAGAGTCAATGCCACATTCAGCAAGAAGGAATACATCTGGGAAAGAATATCTACTCTGTTACAACATCGAAGGTACCAAACTCAACTTCCATAGCAAATGAAATTSAGCAAATAATAGGGACAGTGAAATCACAATTTTACTGTATTTATTGACAGTATTGTTGTGAAACAGTGAAAGTGGACTCACATCACCATAGTTGTTCTTTTCTTCTCCCCCAAACAAAGCACTATTGAACATATATTCCTGAATCACGACCAACACAATGAACAAGAATATGGATGACTCCAAGTCTTCCACGTCCACCAACCGTGCGAATAGAAAATACCACGTCTTCGATGGAAGCGATAGAAKCAATGGTTTTGATTTCAAAGAGGGAGTTCGGGCAGTAGCCTCATCGCCATCTTCGTCTGTAAACGTGAGACGCTGCAAAACTGAAAATGCTGAGGCTGAGACGAGAAACACTGTACAAACAAATAGCACAAGCCATAGCGGGAACAGCGACGAAAGCAGCAGCCTCACAGATGCAGATGCAGACAGCTTTCTGCTCGAGCCTATCTCGGTKTGGGGGGTTCCAACCACAGATTCTGAATCTAAACCGAAACCCAAAACACRAACGCGAACATCGATTTCCCATCCGGGCAATCGGAAGACGATCATTACCCCGACCACAAACGATTGCGACAGACATCGAAGACAGCCAGGAGCAACCCATGATAACCGCAGCAACACAAGCGGGGCTRCATCTACAGCGAGAGCTAAAACTGCAACCGCCTCTCCTCTTTCCTCTCTCAATCCCACACAGGTCATGGATTATTTGCTCCAACGCCAACGATCAATAATCAATTCAACGATCACCGAGGCGAGGGAACAGAAGCAAAGAGAATCAAAAATTAATACGTCTGCTGMGCCGTCACATTCGTCGGACAAAATGCGCAAACCACCACCACAACCACMATCACCACCGCCTACGGTACAAGAGGTCCAAGACCGCATCAATTTTGAGTACTTTATGGATGGCAGAGAACTAGAACGCAATGTCGTTGTGGATTACGACACAGATCGTTCCTACGTGTACACGACAGATTTAGGATATAAGTTCAACCTACCAGAATTTCTCTTTCTGGACGTTCCTAATTCGACTTTTGCTGCTCGTGCYTGCGGCCAATACATTACCAATAAGTTTGTCCAAGACCTAAAAAAGATGGCGAAAATCAAGGAGGGATACGCACGCGCTTCAACAATTGCAGCAAGGCGAGAATCGGCTGAGCGACTCGCAAAACTTTGCAACAAGTCTGTCTATAGTGTGGAAGACATATTTGTTCCATCCCAAACCTGTGCCCATCCCTACCAAAACCGAACGACTCATCGCGATTCCACGGGGATCGATGTTCCCGTACAGGCAATATCTGCCAGGTTTCGTCTCCGGTATTTGAACAAACGGGCATTTCTCCACAAGATACTCCGGCACAACTTTATGAATAGTCACGAGTGCAATATAGGGATCATGGTATTCATTCCAATCATGAGGCGAAACACCCACGCCGATGCATTCTGGGGATCACTGGGTGGCGTCGAACGCCTGCCGTGTGACGAGCATTTCAAGACACAAACTCAAGGCCTTACCAACTCCAAGATGGACAAGTGGTGCATCGAAATTGCCGTTCGGCACGGGACTTATCGTGGACAGGTAAGCTTGACTTGAGGGATTGTACAAAATTGCATTTTTCAATGGCTCGGTTCGGTTGAATCAGTCGTTCGTACGTTCGAGTTGCAAAATGAAATTATTCGTCTATATATTCACATACGAATCGTTTCGTGAATTCCATTCCATGGGATCCAATCTATTATTTCTTTGTTGCGCTAAAGGACCCAGAATCTATGGGTCTAGCATCGACAGACAATCGGTACTATGGCCCTTTCGCCTACCAGAACACTGATGCTTCTGCAGATGCAACGAATGGAAACTTCAAATTTTCTGCGCAGCAGCTCACCAAGAAACCAACGGCAAGCCCGAACAAAAATCCTGGCACAAAGACAAAAGCCACTAAGAAAGCAAACAAGGCAAAGAAGCATCGTGCCRCATTCAGGAAAGCCCCTCCTAAAAAGAGATACATACCAACCGCTAAAGACAAGACGGTGTCGACAAAGACGACTGCTTCGAAAACTACTGCGCCGGCGAAGAAATCAGTCATGTCTCTTGTATCCAATGAGGAAGTACAAAGATTTCATTCGCTTCCTATCAAGCAAGAACCAAGCTGAGTTGATGGAATAAAGGAATGCACGAACAAATAAACTAAAGCAAAACAGAGAATTGCAGTACCTTCAGGGCTACAATGAATCTTATGGATATTTGACGTGTAAATTGAGCAGGAAGGGAAAAGGACAATTTCGGAGTGCTCTTCCGTGACGACATTATCCTAATCGTACTCAGCGATCATTTGCATGGTGCATACCATCTATCTGCCAATGAATTCATGGTACTGGCACATTTTTTTTATCGTTGCAACAGAGCAATACAACCGAAAACTTCTTGTGATTTTAGGACATAAAGTGTAATGAATAGTTTGAAAGATAAATCGCCTTACTTTTGTACTTCCACTAATTTTTTCAGCTTAACAAGACGGAGTCCACAAGTTGTGTGTGAGACGTACAATCAATCCTTGATAGTAACGTGATTTGTGATAAGGCTGATAACAATTTTCCCTCGAGAATATTTGACTATACGTGTTGCCTCTAAAGACTCCCTTCCGGAGCAATACGAAGCATCCCCGCGTGCTTCTTTCGTTTTTTGCTGAGATCATCAATGGATTAGACCGCATGGGTGCTTAACTTGATCAATGTTTTACGACAAAACTTTCCGTCGAGAGTTCCACACGCATGCATTCCACCATTTTCGAATCCATCAAACCGCAATGTAACCATTCTTCTATTCAGTTCCMAATACGATCGTCATTTTTGACTTATTCCTTTCTGCTTTCTCCCCGTCTATCTTTCTAATGATTTCACACTTTTTGATCCATTTCGATTGAGCCGAGGAAATTCAACATTTCACGTTCTAGTTGACCCACTTGTGATCGCAATTGCAGCAAACAAAAATCAAAGCCAAACTATCACTTTGCGTGGAATCACTCATAAAAAAGACGGCTTCATTGTGTCCGCAGTTGGCGCAGTGGGCATTTTGCGACCGTGCTAAGGTTGGGTCGTCGCTAACGGAACCGGGAACGGTATTTAGGATGTTTCCGACTTCCTTTTTCAAATCGTAACGATAAATCAGGGGTTGATCGACAGCTGTCTCCGTGTATCGACAGAGTCGGCAAGCGTAGAGCAGTCTTCGATTCCGTTTGTCCTCCTTCCAATCCAGAGTGGGAATGGGGTGAAGCGCAACAGCAGGCATTGGATTTGCATTTGTTTGAGAATGAAACTATACCTGACCACGACCWAATCTAATCAAAGACATCCTTCACGCAGGACTCGCTATCAAAGAGATATTTTGATACTTACATGTGGGTAGAGCATGGACGAATCATGAGGGCAGAATCTCATTAGCAAAGACTCCTTATCGTTGGTAGGTTCGTCTTCTCCCATATCGAGAATGTCCTCCTCGTCATCATCTTCATCCTCGAGGCCCTGGTGCTGTGCCTCTGGCTCATTTTCTTGCTGCTGTTCTTCCCAATCGGCTTGCATTTTGTGTTAGAATATTATGGCTAATCGTCTACTTTTGCTGGATGAAAACAATACAGAATACAGATTATTACTTCTGAGAGGGCCACTCGAGGTGATCTGTTGTTGTCATGTTTTCAGTGTTTCCGAAAATCATTTTCAATCTCGGCATTCAAAACCATCGTGTGAACGACGTACGAGCGGTAAAAATAATGCTTCGTAGGTACAGTATCATGATGCTTCGACCTCTCCTGTCTCTGGCGCATGTACGAGTACTACCGATGTTTGGTACGTACCTATCATACCTAGTACTGTAATACTAACGATATCACGTACTGTACTGTATTCTGTATTACACCTTGCCAAGAGCCATATATGTTTTGACTATTACTCTCTTTGTGGGGATGGTGTCGATGAATTCAGCTCTTCTCTTTACAAACTCACTAAGGACAAGAAGGAGGATGTTAGTAGATAATTTTGCTTAACCAATAGTGGTAGTAGTATTACTAGTAGTAGCTACTAGTACTAGGCTACTAGTACTACTACTACTAGTAGTACTAGTAATCACACCAGATCCGCACCAAGAAGTGGAATCAGTTCAGGACACACTCATTTGCAAACTACATCATGGCCAATGGTGGTTGGAAACATGAAGGAAAAGTATGTCCCAAATAACGAGGAGATGCTAGTAGTTCCAATAATTTTTTATATGGATGGTATTGTGATTGATAGACACAGAAGCACAACAACCCTATGCCCTCTGAACATGATGCTTGGTGGGATATTCAGCAAGTACACCTTCTACCAGACCCAATGCTTGGGAGACAATATATTTTCATCCCAAGGAAAAAAGTAACCAGTCAGTAGACAGTGTCAGCAATAATCTCCATGTAGCTGCCTTTGCTTCTTTCAAAGAAGTACTATGCAAGTCCTCCCATGATATTTGATGGCACAATTGTCCATGGAATGCGAAGCTTTTCAACGTCAAAATGAAGTTTGCCGTAGTTACTACTAGTAGTAGGTGCTGTCTTCTTCTCATCATCCTTGTTCTTCTTCTTCTTTTCCTTGAATAGCAAGAACAACGAACAAGAACAACCACANGACCTACAGCGTGAAGGTCGGGATCCTGTTGTGAACTCCTTACAAGGTATGGTCTGTCGGCCATTTGGAATGCTGAATCAACCACTACTTTAGCATCATACAAGATGTACATGTCCTCCATCTTCCTGTAGACTCCATACTCTGACATGGTGCTGTCATGCCAAGACCCAGGACAGTTGAATGTTGTTGATCTAATTTTGCCATCAGGAGCAAAGACAAAGAGACTGTTGACGTACGTATCAGATGTCCATCCGTTGTAGTACATGTTCTGTACTGCCCAGTTGCCTGAGGTCTGCAGTCCAAGCTTGAGGCCATCTGCAGCTCCCCACACCCTTTGCTCTCCAAGTAGAGGGTATTTCTCCCCAATTGCAGCAACATAAGCATCTATATCCTCTCTGGCAGGAGCCTGGATCCTTGCATCTGGATTGTCTTGCAAGACATAGAGGAGGACACACCTGGAAAACTTGATCCACTTGTACAACACTGTTGATGTGAGACCAAAGGCCATCGACAGCCCTCTTGCTACTGAACCACGGGTCCTGAACCAGTGCAGTGTTAACCCAAGGCAGCATGTCGCGTTTGCCTCCCTGAAGCGTCCCTTTGGCATTCCATTCCTGTGGAAGCTTCTAATTCTAATCTTCCCTGTTGCCTCATCAACCATGTACATGTTGAATACTGGTGCAAAGAGTTCCATGAGACCTCTGAAGACAGCATGATCCACACCACAACAGTTCAGGAGGGCTTGCTCATTGCCARAACTATACAAGTGGAGGAACGGGGACTGATTCCATCTCCTGATTGCAATCCGTGGCGTCCTCCTATCCCTTCTGCGCCTTTCCTCTCCTGGAGACTGTTCTTTATCCAGCTCATTGTGGAGAGCCACACAAAGGATGATGAATTCTAGTGACATTGTCGGGGTAGCTCGTCGATGTTCCTTTTCAGTTGTCGGGGTAGCGCGTCGATGTTCCTTTTCAGTTGTCGGGGTAGCGCATCGATGTTCCTTTTCAGTACTAATGTTCCAAAAATTCTGTCAGCAAGCATCGATACCCTTTTGATGCTGCTTCAGCTATCTTTTCAACCGATCTTAAACCCAACCAACCCCATCATGTTGACACTTTAGATTTGTTTTGGYGCGCTTTTTGATTTTGTGACACTGACACAGCAGTCGTGTGACACTTTAGATTTGTTTTGGCGCACCATTTTGGGCTCCCCYGGCGCWCGTTGACACTTGAGAACTGGCTGTCAGTTGCCCGTGACTGATGAATTTTTGAATCGAGGATTCCTACATAAATCTATGTGTGTGCATACTTTTTGGTTAGCGTGAGCYTGCCCGGACCAAAAATCTATGTATTTGTGTCAAAAACACATACTTCTATGTGTGCACGACTGAAGCCTAATTCAATATTACATAGATCTGTGTTTACNAGCAGCAGCAGTAGCAGCAGTAGTAGTACCACAACTACCACTACCTAGTACTATTAGCATTCATCCTCAACAAGGATCATAAATTAAATTTCTGCCTTTGTCTTGGCCTTTCTACTCTCTTTCTTCATGAAACCAAAGAAGCTGGACCCTCGTTTTGGAGGTGATCTTTGCTTCCTCCCTCCCTTTCCATTCTTTGATTCAGCGGTATCATCATCAGTACTATCTTTACTTGAATTTTTGGGGCCAGGACTTGTAGTAGCCTGCTGCTTTTGCTTTTGATTCTGTTGCGACTGCTGAAGTGGTGGATGAGATTGTGTTTGAGGCTGAGGTTTCTTTTGCTTCAATGATTTCTGCATGTCAGATGCTTTGCCTTGCCTTTCATCGATAATGTCTTCGAGATAAACGATGCTTTTTGCTCCCGTCGGCGGTTCTTTTCGCACGAGCTTACCATGCACTGACTTGAAGTAGGTCGTTTTACGTCCGGAAGTTCCATGAACAATAATCCTTTCTACCCAGACATCGCCATCAACCTCTGACGAAACATCTTGTTTCTCGAATCGGCGATGAATACTGGAGGATCTCTGCGGGGAAAATTCCTTTCTCCCAGATTTTGATTCTTCGCGATAAACTCCACTAGCTTTTCGGAATGTTTTTGTGGAGCTCTTCCTCGTCAATCTGGGTCGTGACGGTGACCTCCCTCTGGTTTCTAGAGGGATCACTGGCAACGAAGGGATTTTTCGTGGCTGGGACTTTGACCGGAATGGTCGATCACCAATCCGAGGAAACCTGCCGCTTCGGTCAGCTTTGGGTTGTCGGGGGTAAAGAGGTGGGGTTCTATGATCACGTACATCTGGTGCGAGACGAATCGGAGTTTCTCGTTGACCTCGCTCGGCAAAACACRTTGACTCCCAAGTAGAATGCCGCCTTGATGTTGTCAAATGATGATTTCTATTGTGGGAAACATACCTTCCAGGCGGTCGAGGTGGCAACCCCAGCCTACTCTGGAATGAGGGGTTGAGAGTGAGATCGTCGCAACTACGAACAACGTCGCCATCGAAAGACCTGGCTACAAGAATGTTTGAATCATTTGGGTGGTATCGTGGGCGAGGAAAATGTCCAATTCCGAAATCTTCTTCGAATGAGCGTGTGGCCAGAATTCTGGAATCACTTGGCTCAAGCTTACAACATAAATTGATTCGTGAGGAATGTCTACGGGAAGGGACGGAATTATCAATATGTCCGACCGAGTCGATACGCTGTAGAAGCCGATGATTTCCACCATCCGCCATGTCCTTGTACGCTAATTCCATTCTATCTTGACGTCCCATCGTATTTCACGGTGGCTTTATCCTTTTTTCAATGAACGCCGAAGTGTCGCTATAGTTGAGGGTATTTCTAATTTCTTGAAATATTGTGGCAGAGTAGCAGTAGTCCTTGTACCACTACTASTAGTAGCTCGAAGCTTCTGGGAGGATTTCTAGCACAGCAAACCGCCAAGTGGTCAGAAAATATGTTTTCATTCATTTTACGCCGGTAAATGTCGTTTGTTCGCTGATGTTTGTGGTGTGAATATCAATAACCCACCGGAAGTAGTACGCATTCTGAAAGAAAAAAATTGTGATTTTTAGTTTAGTTGTTTGGTTTCAGAAAAACTATTTAAAAAAACCTCAAATTTGTTCATTCCGAATGATTCATTCATTCAGTCATGTTTTGATAGCATCAAATACTTCTTCGGTTGTACCATAGGTACTAGATATATGTATGTATCATATGATATTACAGTAATCTCATACTATTGAAAATTGTCGCAAAAGTTCACAACCACGCCGAGACATCGGATAGATGTGCCGCTGTTACCCGAAATCTCATCATCGAGCATCATTGCATTAGGCTGTAGTGAATACTTTGGACTCTTGGAAAAAGGATTGAATCTAAGCATTGTCAGAGAGAACTGAAATTGTGACCTGTAGTGTGTAAAGAACTTTGAAGACAGCAGCAGCGTAATACTGGCACTAGACAGACAGTGCCCGCAAGAACAGACCGTCACGTCCATTAAATTTTTCGAATCTACGAGCAGACCGTCGCAACAAGTAGAAAGATGCCGTCGGCGAACGACTACAATGACGAGCGCCATAAGAAAGAAGAGATGGCCCGTCGGGAAAAGAGAAAGGTAGGTGGAGAAGAAAACAACCACAAAAATGGACTTTTTCCAATCTGCTATCCGTTCGTGTATTATATGAAAATTTTCGTTTGCCTTATCTATCATCTAATACTTATTTCTGACTTACGATAAACTGCAAACCATAAAGAGCGCCAAATCTCATAAATCAGATGCACAAAGAGAGAAAGAAAGAAAAAGAAAGGAGCACATTGAAAAGACTCTCCGAAAGCACGGAGGTGAACGAAAAAAGCAGAAGACGGAACCGGAAGCAACATCCTCTGCGTTTCAGTCTCTCTTCAAACAGAGAGCACAAGGTTTTGAGATTGCATTCAAGTTCCGAAATGCTCCTCCTCGTCCTCCAGTCGGTCCCTGTTTTATCGGAACAAATCTTGACGAAAAACTTAGAGAGATTAGTCAGTACAAGCCTTTGAATGCTGTCGAGGTCAATTATCGTTGGAAATTGCACAGTGAACCCGACTTGGGTGTGCCTCTGGCTCCATCTGCAATGGACCCAACTTCATACAAACAGAACCAAACTGAGGAAGCCCAATTGCATCCTGACGATCTGAAGTTGCTAGAGTGGAATGGTTCTATGGCAGATACAGCTGCCGAACAGTTGAAGAAGAGACGTGACAATGCACGTGCGATTGCGAGGTTGGCCCTAATGGGTAAATCCCCAGCCAAGTTTCTCATGGAAAAGACGAAAACCACAAGATCTGGCCCAGCTTCGACAAAGAAAGCTTTCTCTCGTGTATTGGATGAGGGCATGCAGAGTTGGATGAAGAAGACTACCTATATCACTAATGACTACGGCCGAAAGGTACACGACTTCAAGTCGCTTGCCAAGACGAAACAAGAACTTGAGCGAGAATTGGAGGTTCGACAACAAACAATCATGCAACGTCGATCCGCTCCTGTTGTATCGAGGACTTTTGAAGAGGTTAAGGCAACCGTTCAAAATCACCCCAACAAGAAAGGAGTTACACCAGTGGCCGAAATGTCATTTTTGCCCAATATCGAGAAATGGGGCAATGCGTACACGTATGTTGTCGTTGACAAAAGTCCTGGTGATAATTCAACGTTCCTGAACAGTTCGATTGTCGCTAATGTCCAGAAGAAGGATGCTACTGCACGTATGACATGTGAATTGTTTGGACAATCTGAGAATGATTCCGGATCCTACCTGGGTATGCAAAACTACGAATTGGATGTCGTTCCTCTGAAGGAAGGGGATGCACCGCATGCTAATTTCTGTATATGGGTTGATCCAGAGAATAACACAGCATTATACACCCCTATTTCTTCGCGAGTTCAACTTTCGAACGGAAGGCCAATCCGAGGAAAGAATTACAAATTGAACGTTACGAGAAGAGCAATGAATGATGAGGATATGGCGGAGATTAACGAACGCTTGGCTGAAGTCGATGCCGATGTTGAAGAAAAAATAAATGGTTCGAATAGTGCCAACAACAAGTCAGGAAACAACATTTCAATTAATGACGATGATGACGATAGCGATGAGGATATGTAAACCTAATGGACACTTCTTGCTGCCTAGGGATATATTATTTGAAGTCATGCCACGGCGATAGAGAGTATCACGATCGAGCTCTAAACGGGATAAGAATATAAAAGTACTTCTAGTTAAAAATTGTTGGATTCCTTGAAGACGCTGCATTGTATTTGGCGCATACATCAATGCACGATCTCAGTGCAACATGCAACTACTAGGACTCTCAAAAACGTAGTTCAAATACATAGTTCCGTTCGTAATACTAACAATTACATTTGACAATAGTGATCTCAGTAACTTGTACTTTGGATGTCGGAGTGTTTTTAAAATGATTATATCTCCTCTGAGGATACTGCTACAATATAGGTAAAAGGATTACAACAGTGCCAGACCTTTATTGTTATGGAGATAATGAAAATAAGATTCTCGAGTGTACGGAACACAATTTATCTACAGTACATGCCAGTAAAARACGTACTGAASGGTACCGTGATTCTGTGCTAGGTGACTTTTTTCCACGAATTTTTTGTGGATCCTACTCCAACTATACTTCACGATGGCATTTTGCCTGTCGCAACAAGCTCGTGGAAGACGCTAGCTACACGGCAAAACATATTTTCTTTTTCATCGAACGGGGTTCATTCTCTTGGATAACGAACTAAAGACTATGAGTTTTGGCAACGGATATAATGGAGGCAGGACGGGAATGGTGAGCCTATCGCGAATTTGACATATTAGGTGGTTGAAAAGAGGAAGAACAGAGAGCTCAAAAGTAGCTACGATGACGGCAGTATCGGCGTATACATGGGACGATCTAGATGTGATGCTTTCTGCATTAGCTGAAGTGCACGACGCTTGTTGAACCTAACAATTGTTGTTTTTGCTTTCAAATCGCCGTGTTTGCTTTGTTTCATTGTTGCCTTGTGATAATCTCTCGAAAGGCCACAAAGGTTCTGTTGAATGTATACGACTTGAGTCCAACAAATGAATACCTCTTTCCTATCGGAATGGGTTTGCACCATACAGGAGTGGAAATAAACGGACGAGAATACAGTTACGCCAGCGAGGGAGGCATTTACGATGGCCCGCCGAGACAGGCACCAGGAGCGCGATTCCGGTGTCAGTTGAATCTAGGGACTTTTGACGGTGGAACACAAGAATTGAACAGGGCTCTGGACGAGCTGAGACACAATGGTGGGTTTGGCAGCGGTGGGTACAACCTGATTCGGAAAAACTGCAACCACTTTTGCAACGCGCTCGTGTATCAGCTGTTGCGAAAACCCATTCCCGCCTACATCAATCGCCTGGCGAACCTCGGTGATTGCTGCAGCTGCCTCCTCCCAAAAGAATTATTGGGTGAGTCACCTGTGGGAAGTGGGAACAACCATCCGTCGTCGTCGGGGTCTTCATTTCATGTTCCCACCCGTGCTACCATGAATCGAGGTGGAGGGGGTGCAAGCACGAATGCTTTTGCGGGCAAGGGACACTCTTTGGGTGGAGGATCTTCCGGGGTTGCGCAACCCGATCTTACGGATCGCAGAGAAAGAGCACGAAAGGCGGCGCTTGCTAGATTGGAGCAACAGCAATATCAAAACAAGGAATCATAAACCTAGTGATTTTTAAATGATTTTGTGATGAATCTCTCTAGATTGTATCAATATCTTTTGGAAATGTAATTGTGATCGATTCATAATCCCCGTTTGGCCTTTTTCTTCACAGGCTCGGTACTTGAAACTACTGCTGCCTCGTCTGCTTGTTCGTCAATCGTTGCCAGCGATTCTCCGACCCCCATGACCAGTGTTGCCAGGAAACAAACATCTTCTTTCTCTCTGCCCAGATCGACCTGTCGCGGCAAATCCCCCATGAAGACCACGGCCTCTTGCAGTGCATCTCTTGCCTGGTCGTAGTAGCCCCGAGCATACGAGACTCGTTCGTTCGCCTTGACTATCAAGCTCTGGGTTTCCGTGGTGACGACGTCTTTATCTGGTGGACACGACAAAAGCGCTTCGGCAATCAAAATGTTCGCTTCGCAAACCATGCGGTGTGCTTTCAGGTGTTCGATGGTCGATTGTTGCTTGTGGTCGCTATGGGCCTTCCTGTCCTCAAATTCTTGCAGGCATGCCTTGCGCAGCTCCAGGGCACGAGAATAGGCATCTGCGGCATCGGCATGGCGATTCAGAGTCGAAAGGGTATCCCCGAGTCCCAGCAAAATGCGAGGTAGTTGTTCCGAGACCCAGTTCGAGTATTGGTCGTTGTCTCCGGCTGCACCTTTCCCAGCCTTTTCTTTGTATTCCTCTAGAATGGAAAACGAATTTTCCATCATTTCCAAAGCCAGGCTCAGGTCTTCGCTGGCCAGGTTGTCGTTTTCCCCGTCACTCATTCCCTCGTCCTCCTGGTTGTTTTGTTCGGATGATCCATCGTTTTCGAACTGGTTTGTGTCGCTGTTGTCTACAGCCGCTGGTTTTTTTTCTGCTTCTTCGCCTCCTTTGCCAGTGTTTTCGTTACTAGAAGATTGCTGCCGATGCTCGGCTGCTGCAGCAGCGGCAGAACGTTGTTCCTCCCTACTTGTTGTCTCGTCTTGTTGCTGTTCTTGCTGCTGCTTTACAGCAGCCCTAAGCAATGAGTTCCCATATTCGTAATATGCTGGCGCCGTCTCGACCGATGCATCTCCATATTGCTGCGTAGTTTCTTCCAGCAGAGTGCCGTAGACTGTAATAGCCTCGTCGGCCAATCCCCGTTCGACCAATTTCCTACCGGCCAAGAATCGTGGGTCCCTCGTTACGACGGGCGTCCTTTTCGTCATGGTCTTGCCAACGAAGGATACAAGGGCGTTTCGCAGAAACGTGGTAGGTGTTGGGTTTCGAAAATGGACCGTGATAGAATGAAACTAGTCCGTGTTGCGACAAAAAGAATGTTCCTTCACGTTCACTGTTATCCGTGCTTCGCTGCTCAGTACTTCTACTTCGTACATACCGTGCGACCACATTGCTCACTATCTTCTCACATACCGGTAGCACTGCGTTAATATCGTGATCATGGAACGGAATATGATGACAGGGAAGATTGTGGTCCCCGTAGGCCAGTACTACATTTACGTACTGGTTACGGAATGGCGTAGCGTTCGATCATATCGAAGACAAAAAGATTCATGATGACATTGTACGAGCTGCGTCTTGCGTCCGTCCCGTTCGTTCGATAGACATCAGACCATGTTGTACAGTACGTACGTACGTATGTACGTAGGTATCTGGTACGCATGGCGTACAGACAGATGAGGTGAGCTCTTGACGCGATTCAAATTTGAACCTCTCGTGACTGATTTACAGAGTCTTTAAAATTTACGATTCAGGATTCGCATTGGAAATCGTACGTGTACGGTATACGCAAAATGCAACTAAAATTGCATTATCATAATTGCCTCCGTGCAACCAAAATCAGTACCACATAGGCCTAGACCCCTATATACTGGTGTACGGCTATACAATATCACTAACTTTTCAACGGTATTGCTTTTTTTGTGTGCAAAATACATAGAGGAAACGGTATTGAGATTTTATGTACTACTCTTACTCAGTAGCTTGTTTGTTGCATTCTCAACCGTTGAAAACACTGACGCAGTGCAATAATACAACGTGGTCGCTGGTGCACATGAAAACTTGAGCTTATTCTTATTCCTTTAGCGGCAACAAGCAACAAGCAACAAGCAACAAGCAAACAGTAGTAAACAGCAACAAAATGACACCCCCAGCACCAGGACAAGATGAAGCGCGTCGCGGACGCGGACAACCCGTAGGATTACGTGGAGGAGCACGGAGAGCTGGTGGCGGACGCAGGAGGAGACGACAAGAACAAGAACAAGCCCTCCCCCCCCCCAATTTGTTCAGGGTTGCCCGTGAAGCATTGGAAGAAGTTGCTCGTGAGCAACAGGAAGCTGACGAGTTGTTGCAACAGCTACGCGCTGGTGGAGGCGGACGCGGACGCGGAGGAGGAGGAGGAGGACGCGGTCGTGGTCGTGGTCGTGGTCGTGGCCGTGGAGGAGGAGGACGCGGAGGGGGACGTGGGGGACGTGGGGGACGTGGTGGACGTGGTGGGCAACAGCAGTCATTGGAAGAACAAGCTGCTCGTGAGCAACAGGAAGCTGGTGAGGAGCAACGCGAAGGAGGTGAAGAAGAACGTGCTGCTCGTGGAGGCGGACGCGGGGGACGAGGAGGACGTGGTCGTGGTCGTGGACGCGGAGGAGGACGTGGGGGACGTGGTAGTGGGGAACAGCAACAGCAACAACAAGGCAATGCCGAGGACATGGAAGATACTGCTGGTGATGCGGCCACATTGGAAGAGCTCATTAGAGTATTGGATGAAGAAGAAGCTCGTGCTGGTGGCGCGGATGATCCTTTTGGTGAAGGGGTCGATGGTGACGACGATAGCCAAGCAGCAGCAACAACAACAACAAGAAGAAGGCCGCGTCCTGGGCAAGCTCCTAAGCCACCACCAGGTGTTCATATTCCAGACCAATGGCCAAGTTACCACAGGATATTCCTAAACTTCATGGATTTTGTACATGGGAAAAGAGATGGAACTTTTGATAATCCTCCCACTGAAGATACAAGATTTCCCCGGGACTATGTGTTTAGCGATGATGAGCTTTCTAACTTAACACCTGATCATGTTTATAGATTCCTTGCACTACAGGCTTATAA